AGATTCCCGCCGTCGCACATTCACCTTTAGTCAACAAAGGGAAAGTCTCGGCCACGTAGGCGAGTCGAGGTACGGACCCGACCTACCAACCAACTAGGGCATACCATCGTTCACCCTGATGAGTTGAACGCAAATGCCCGACAGGGACACCTCGATCGAGCTCCACTATCGAAGTACCCACATGGCAGAACACCCAGCTCGCGATGGGCAGTTCACGCCACGGGCGTAGGACCCCGATCGCGGTCATACACCTGACATGCGAATTCCACTCCGCACATTCGACACATTTCGAAGTGCGTCGAACCGTCACGAGGGTCGAACGGATATCTCCACTCATACACAAACTTTACCAAAAATTCATTATACAGTCAAACATATACCTAGATACTAGCAGGTAATTGCAAACAAAGCATCTGTCGAAAAGACAATCATAAACACGGATTAGCAGTATACCGACCACAACAGCCGGCGATATTCGATATTACAGCTCAGGGCATGGCGGCCCAAAAAATTAAGAAAAGTACGGGCACGAGGCCCCAAAAATAAGAACAAGCACGCAGGCCCAAAAACAACAAACGGGCGCGCAGACCCAAACAACAAAGTGTCAATCATTCCCCAGAGTGCTGTGTCCACATCAGGAGAGTCGGGGGGAGGCACAACCTGGCCGTCGACGATCTGAGGGAGAACTCCGACCCCATCGGTGTTCAAGCCCGGATTTAGCACGAATAGCTGACTCACCGCGGCCTCAAACCCGTCGGCCAAAGCGCCAACACAATCTGATTCTAAGAGGTGGATGCGAGCAAGAAAATCTGAGCGCGTGTGCAAGTCGGCCATCCCCTCTGACTCATCCTCGACGGGCAGCATAGCGGCTTTCAGGTCCTCGATCTCCCTCGACAACCGTTGGTTATCGCTCTCCAGTCGTTCCCTATCAAGTTGAAGACAATCTCTCTCCTCGAGAGCCTTGTCAGCCCTCTCCTTCTCCCCGACAGCAAACCAGATTGTTCGCGAAACATTTCCTCAGAGCGTTCGAGGGCCGCCTTCAGCTTGTGAGACTTAGCCGCGAGAGCCACCTTCTTCGACTCCAGCTCTCAAACGCGGTCTGAGGAATCTGATCCTTCCCCCGTGAGGACCACCATCATCTCGGCCATCTTTACCACACCAACCATACTAGCAGCAAGGTGTTTCCTCCGACCTTCCTTGTCGAGCCGCCTGATGATGTCGGCCTCATTGTCGGACACGGTCAGGGGAAACCCCTCAAAGAAGTCTTTCTCCACGAAACATGGTGGTAGGCCGAAAGTCCGGGTAGAGGCACCTCCATCAACCACTTCCACTCAATCCTCTGGTCGACTATGTTTCTCGGTGACCAGCGCAGTTTGGCGCTCGGCGTCGGGAGAACCTGAGGACCCACTGGATCCCTCTCTGCCCGAATCAGCAGGCGGGCCCATCTACGTGGCTTGTTGCGGCCTCACCGATCTCTTATTTATCTTCTTGTCCTGGGTCAACTTCAGCAATCTTTCACGACGCTCCGCCATGTGACCTACAGGGAAAGCGAACCAAGGTTAGCCATGTGCATTAAAGGCAATTAAAAGGAACAACAATAAGAGCAAAGCAAGAAACCTAAAAGATCTACGGCCTGCCCGTAAGATTGGCACTCAACGAGCGCCTTGGTGTTAATCGGGCGCGCCTCGAACGTCGGATAGCCATCCTCGTCAAGAATGTCATCCCCTTCCCTAGTGACCCACCGGGCAGGAAAGAAGCCATCAACAAACTTGTTCAGGACGCCATAAGCTTCCTTGTCCTCGGCACTCATACCCCCAGCAGGAGTATGGTAGTACCCCGGACCATGGTTGTAATGAATCGAGCACCAATGAATGGGGAATCTGGAGATCCGCCCGACCTCGGGATTACCCTCGACGTCCAAACAGGGCTCCCCATCCTCGTCGACCACAGTGGTCAGTTCGAACAACGAATCCAAGGCCGTCTGGGTGGACGGCTGCAGTATATACCATTTGTCTTTAAAATCCCGCACGGAGTCCATGTACATCCTAAACAGTCTCTTCGACTGCTTAAGAGACACCCAGCTGTGTTTCCCTCCTCGGGATTTCCGCTGTAAGTGGAAAACCCTGAAGAACAGGGGAATCGTCGCCCCAATTCTCAGGAAACGACATGTGAGCTCGAATGCTCAGAGAAAGGCAATCGCGTTGGGGTGGAGTTGGGAGGGGGCCAGGTTCAAATGGTTGAATACCCCGACCTGAAAGTCGTTGAAGGGCAACCGAAGACCAAGATCTCTGAACACGATCTCATACATAGAGAACGCATCTTGGGTGAACTCCGAACAGATGCGAGCATCCTTCGCCGACCTCATTATCTTGAAGTTCCTTTAAAACCCTTCTTGACTACCGCCATACTCGACGACGATATAAGCTTGTCTATTACGATGGCTATACATCAAAGCTATTCCCCGGGGCTCAGCACCCACCCAATCCAATGTGGGGTCGTCGACGGTGTCGACCAAGGTAATAGTCTCTTCCGTTGTGCTCACCTCCTCGACGTCATTACGCCCCGAGGACTCAGGAATGTCGGCCATTTACCTGTAAAGTACAGGAAACCGATAAATTCGACAGCAAATCCGCTTGCCCGCCACAAAGACGGGGAGAAGTAAGTGACACTCAAAGCGAGTCTACAGCCATTCGCGCGAGAAACGGGAAACAAATGGATCTCAACCAAACAGCGATCCCCCAGCGGCAGACATCAGTCATGAATGACACAAGCATAACATGGGTGCCCCGGGCGAGGTACGGATATCGCGACCAGGTTCATAATTTCGAAAGGATATTACGGGGAAACTAGCCTACGTACTAATGAAAGGATGAATCTCCCGACCAGGTTCATGAACTGACCAACCAAAACGCATGCACGGTCAGGAATCATATGCCTAAATTTATGAATATCCCGGGCACAACCATGAATCAGGCGCCTAACGCGCTTAAATCTATCGGACATAACCCCCAGACACAAGTTTCTACTACCAAAACGTCGTCAAAACTATCTACAATACGAGAAATCAAAGAGAAAAGACACTTGGAAGAAAATTTGAAGAGCGATGGTGGTGGAAGTAATCAGACGGCGAGCGACGCGGCGGTCTCAGCGACGTTATAAAAACTTACGGTAGTGAAAACAGAGAAAGTGTGAGAAACGTAAAAGGTAAAACAGACTATGGGTCCTGGAGCCCTATTTATAGAGATGACGTGGAATACGAAACGTCGCATCAGGCAACCGCGAACCACGTCCATCCTCGACGCCTACTAACATAGACAATGATGGCCCTACTCCCTAGGTCGGCTTTGTGGTTCCCAAGAGCCGCACCACGTGTCTAACTAACGCATCACCGCCTTCCCGCAAAAATTCCTCGAACGATCTTCGATCGACACACGGGGAAGACCACAAACCGGGCGATGCATGTCCTCCCCGATTGGAAGCCCCTGTGTCGCGCAAGCGAACCTCGCAGGACAACAAGCTCGGGTCAAGTCACAACTCCCGTACCAGGAGCAACGACTTGGGGGGGCCCTGTTCTGAACTGGGCCTGCCCGTGACCCAATTACCAGCGAGACCCAGTCCAAGCTTTACAACACACCACGCTGAGTATTAGAATCCCCGACGCACCCCGATCATGAGCGTCGTCGAACACAATTGTCCCCGACAAGGGGCATCCCAAGCGAGGAACATCTCAATCCAGGACTCGCTCGGACACACTCCCCGTAGGGCAGACTCGATCGCTCTGAATATCTCAGAGCCCTCAGGGTCCCGAGAAGACCGCGTCTTCACCTTCCTATTTCTGCGGAGAGCATCATCCAGGTAAGGGACCACGTACAGGTCCCCACTACTCCACATGGAACCTGACAGTCCCTTTGTTAAACTTGTTTGGTCAGTCCAATGAAGGGACCTTGGCCCAGTGTTGGAGGCTATAAATACCCTTTACTTCAAGAGGGTCAGGTATTCATTCATTCACACCTACATACTATTCACCTGCTCATTTTGTCTCTCAGTTTATCATCGGAGTGTCTTACAGGTACCCCTACCTCCTTCAAATTCAATCGAACCAGCTGTGACGGTCCAATTCTGATCAGATACGATTAGAAATCAATATTATACTGTAAACAAAAACTTCACTGTCGATAGACAACAAGTAAAAATATCATTATATATCCTAGTTGAGGTGATAGTTCACTGTTGATAAACAAAAACTTCATTGTCGATAGTTCACCTCGATCTCTCCATATAAGAGTGTACCTCTAATAATCTAAATTTTTCCGTTACCACAGAAACAGGAACTTCATTGATCATTCAAAAGATCTTCACGTACAAGAAAATGAATAGGTAGCCACCACAAGAATATAGGTTCAACAATTTCCAACCAAGAGCAATTTTCTTTAACTTATCAAGTTAATTGATGTGCATCAATACTCAAATTATAATATAGAATGAGTGATATTTATAATAGCAACCAAAATCTAAACTAAAAAAAAAAAAACACATGCCCGGGGCATCAGTCAACAAATAGATGCATTGAACATGTGCGTGCTATGCATAATGAGACAAACTCGGCGGCAAAAATGCACCATAATTAATTAATTATTACAGTAAAAAAATATCCAACATTCCAACCAACACTTCCGAGTTTCAGCAGCGTAGCATCATAAGAGAAATAAACAGCTTAAGCTTTCATCACAACAAACTTCAAATTAATAGAATATCGGCAATGCAAACATAATGAACGAACACATAGGGGCGTATACAATCATAATTGTGCTGAATTCAAAAAGAACAATGAAGCTTTTATCACTATATCTGTTGCTAGACTTTTACTATTCTTTGATAAACCAATAAGCAGTCTATTTAAGTCTTTGTATAGTTGGTTTTTATAATTATTTCTTACTTAGTAATAAACCAAAAAACAATAGGGTCCCCAAACAACCTTGAACACATTATTAGAGCTTAATTCAGCCTGACCTTCTGTAAAGTTTGTAAGCCACAGCAACAGCAGCCAGAGCTCCAAGCACACCAACAGCTGTGAGAACATCACTCTCCTTCAATGTAGGCCAATTCTTGCAGATTTTCCTCTCTTTAGTCTTGTTGTTTTGTGCAGGAATTGGAAAACTGCAACAAGAAACCCCATTAACACCCTGGCAACATCCGGTCACATTTTCTTCCCGGTTCACACTGGCACTTTCAATACTCTTCTCAGTCTTGTCGACATGTTCTCCATTAGCAAGTTCTCCATTAGAAAGTTTCTGGTCAGTTGCTCCCTTCCCCTCTGGAACAGACGGCCCCATTTGGCCCCTACAACAAAATAAAGAAGTTTAACTAATACACCTCCATAATAAGGGAGGTGCCAAAAACGCAGCAGTTACATTATGGGGACTAAATGGCATCATATATGACGTGCTACTAAATAAAAATGCTTAATAGTTTTTTCCTTTGGTTATAAATGGTAAGACCGTGGTCATAAAGGAAATAAACGAATTCAATCAGATACAATCATAACAAAGGAAACAAACCCCAACACAGCATTATGATAAATGAATAAGAATCAATTTTAGATTTATGCAAATAGATGTTTATTCAATTCAATTAAAGAGCTGACAACAAAAAATGAGTTGAAATAATAAGAACAACAATAATAATAAAGCTTCAAAATACATCATGCATAATTGTAGATCATTATTCAAAGATTGACCATAACTTTTTTCTGAGAGAAACAAGATGGTGATCTTATTTAAAGTTCGAAATAAGAGAGAAATTCCCAATTGGCTACATCAGCACAACACAAAATAACACAGCGGAAAAAAAAAATTTAAGCTCAATTCAATATCAAATCAGAATGCAGGGTTAAGGACAGAAGAGGAGAAAAAGAGGGGAGAAAACACAACAACTGACAAACTTGAAAATCATCCATAGTAAATGCTAAAATAGGTAATAAGGATAGGGCAGTCTTTGATGATCTAAACACTCCTCAAAAGTATCTCAAACCATGATAATTTTTATAAGTCTACACCATAGTTTAGTAACAAACCAGTGAATTTTTTTTTTAGAATCTAAAAAAGATTACACTGCACTATGTTATTTTTGTCTTTACAAACAATTTGTCCCCAAAGTTTTCATTTCATTTAAAGATATGAAATGCATAATCACAAAAATACCAACCTCCAAAGTCGGTGTATGACCTCTCCTTTTGCAATGTGTTGGTCCAACAAATCAGGAACATCGTTAGGAGTAACATAACCGTACCTATAAACAGTTGTTTCGTGATACAATTAAACTTGCAGCAATGAAATGTTACAAAATTTAGAGGATACAACTATGCAAGTTTATGAGCTTACCAGTGACCCGTAGTTTTCCCATCAGGTCCTGGACTGTATATGATTACATTCCCAGCATATTTGTGCCCCCCAATGTGAGAACAAGCAGTAACAGATATCTGATCCTTCAGACCTCGAAGCTCAATTTCCTCATTAAAATTATTGATGAGAACTGGCCCACAAGTACCACATCTAACATCACGACTTCCATGAGCACATACATAAACATGTGAACCGGTTAAAATCTCCGGCACTCCAATAGCCCATGGTTTACCATTCACCAAAACATCTTCAAAAAAGCTCTCAACATTTGACTCCACCAAACCCCTTTCAATTAAAGAAGAGAATAAAATTGGCCTCAGAAACAAGAAAAAATTCTCAACATAAAAGACCTCATTCATCAATGAAAACCAAGTTTAAGAAACGGAACCCTAATAGTAATCAATGGCAACGTTTCTCGTTTACCTATATTTAATCATTTCAGGGAAAATCAAAACGTCACCGTCGGAGAAGCCAGCTTCCTCACGCGCTTCGCACACAGTGATTTTGGTCTGCAAAAAGTGAAACCAAGCGAAATTAGAACGAAATAAGCAAAGGGAAAACCGAAACAGTTCAGTTTGAAGTGAAACGAACCTTAAGAGTGAAGTCGTTTTTACGGGCTTTCATGGTGGCGGCGACGAGTTTAGGGAGAGGATGGTCGTCGGAAGCCTCGACACGTGGAGGCCAGGAAAGATGGTTTTTGTAATAGAGGAAGACGTGGCGGTCGTAAGCGTCGACGGTTCCGGCGAGGTTCTCAGTGTACATCTCAGGGCGAGTGAAACCGTTGTCGGTGGAAGGGTTGTCGGCGGCCATTGAAATGAAAGGGTAATGGATTGCACGACGAGAGCGCGTTGAAATTTTAGAGAAATGAAAGGGTGGATTCGATTACGGAGGGAACAAAAGATCGGATGATGGTATACTGATTATTTAATTGGAGATTTTTATTTCTAGAGAAGGTGATATGTTATTTATTAATCTTTTAATATCATTGACTTCACACACTCGTGGCCTACTAGCTTTTTCAAATTATATTAACTTACACCTCAACATAAGTTTGCTTTTAAATTATATAGTATTAGATTACATCATCTCCCAATGTATGTTGTTTACAAGTTTCTTAATTAAATATAAAAATAATCTTATTGTTTATTGATTAATTATTTTAAAAATTTGACTTGATCATTATGTTCAAATACAAATTAGAGTAGTTGCAATTAAGAAAGATATTAAAAGTTGTTACTTTCTCCGCTAGAATGTGGTGAGGTATAGGGATGGTAACGAGTAGGGTCGGGTGCGGGTTTCACACTACTCAAATTTGCACTCGAAATCACCACCTGAACTCGAATTTGAACTCAAAGACTATCCGGGTGGGAAAATAACATCCACGTCCATATTCGTTGGGTTCGGATTTTTCACCCAAACTCAAACATGCAGCAAAAAAAAAACACAAAAAAATACAACAGCAACATTTAAATTTGAAACACAAGAATTTCATCAAGGTTTCTCAAAGAAATTATAATTAAAATTAAGGTCTTAACATAGTCTCCAAGGAAATTCAATCACATGCATTTTAACATAGTATTCAACATCTTAACATTACAATTAAAATTAAAGTCTACAATCAAATTACAACTTTCCAACATCATCAAGGTAATATAGTCTCCAAGAAAATTTCATCACAAGCATTCCATGAGCAAACTCTCTCAAATAAACATATCTATTTTGTTCACATTAAGTAAATGGTTATTAATAATTAAGAATAAGAATAATGTAGATATTAGTGTAGAAACAATAATACTCACCATGTTAAAGCATAGAAACAACAACTTCTAATCTTCAAAATGGTAACCCAAACAACTTTCCATCAATTCAGTTGTATTAAGAAGTAAATTGAAATTAAATAAAACACTAAAGCTTAAAACTTGTACACCAAATGAAGTACAAAATATCTTCATCGTCAGACTCCATTTCATTCAACATAGTAGCAATTTCTTTTGCAACTCTAGAAGTTCATATATATATATATATATATATATATATATATATATATATATATATATATATATATATATATATATATATATATATATATATATATATATATATATATATATATATATATATATATATATATCACATGTAGAATAACAAAAAAAAATAATTAGTTGACTTACCAAAGTAGCAATATATTATATAACAAGAAAATTAAGGTAGAAAGTAAAGATTATTTGACAATGACATACCATTATTCTCAGCAGCCCATAGCCAACTCTTAGCACACATCAAAGCCTCTACGGTAGTCCAGTTAAGTCGGCTACGATGAGGATTCAATATTCGACCACTATTACTGAAGGTCGATTCAGAAGCTACTGCAGAAACAGGAATAGCTAACACATTTGTTGTACCCCAAAATTCACCCTCTCACTTATCAAATATTTTCTCACAAGATCTCCTTGGATTCAAGACTGCACAAGGATTGATCAACTCAAGACATCTCCTTAAGCACTAAGGACTGAAATTAGGGTTTGAGATTGCACAAGGATAATTGAACTTTCAATGCCCCATATGACTTTCATGGATCATTATGGACCCTCAAGATTACTCATGTCAATTTTCAAGCCTTGAATCATATTTTTGCTCAGCCAATTGAGCAGTTGACCTAAAAATCAACTGTATTGGGGGAAAAGTCAATTGTGCCCAATTTACAGTCAAACTTCATAATTTTTTATCCATATAAACATTATAAACTCATATGTATCATTTGATCAAGTTTGGACCACAATTCCTCAAGAAATTTGATCAAATCATCAAAAGGGCAAAATGGTCAAAATTAGGGTTTTGACTGAGAAAATGCAATTTCTGATTTTTGACTTAGCAAATGGTTAATTTGTTTGAGGCATGATATTAAGAGTTCAATTGAACCATTTTGACCTAATGGCATGACTCAAAACATTGCTCAAGATCAATTGGATTGATAGTGAATTTTTAGTCAACTGATCAAAAGTCAATTGTACACTGAAAAGTCAAACTTTGACTTTTTGGTCAAAACCAAGTGTCAAAGATCACAATTCATCAAAACATGTAAAAATATGAAACTTATTCATCAAGAAATCAAAAAGTCAAGATTTCATTTTGAAAAGTCAAAGTTTTCAAACTTAGAAATTTTTCTGTGATGAAAACTTCATGTTTTTTCACAACTTTGAGCAAATTTTTCACCATGATGCAAGATGATTCAAAAGAAACTTTCAGCATAAAAGTTGTATATCTCCATGATATCTACAACATTTCTTTACACAACTTCTTCTAAAAGTTCTTGTATCTCAAGTTATTAATTCATGAAGTCATAGTCTTGAAACTAAACACTTAGTGGAATTTTAAACATTTTTTGTCAGGATTTTGACCTAACTTCTGACCCAAGTTTCACCTAGTTCCAAGGGGAATTTTCAAAAGTGGTTCAAATAGGGGTTGTATATCACATTACAAGCTTTCCAAAATGTCCAATAACTCCTTGAGATCATTTGTGAGCAAGTAGAATCGAAGGTCAGAAGTTGGGGTTTCAAGTTGTTTTACAAGGCAAATTTTGGGATGAACAAAATTCAAATCTCAAACATATGCTGCATAATCTTTGCTTTACAGGCCTCAAACTTGTTAGGCATAATTAATTGCTTGCACAACTGTTAGAGGTCTCAACTCAAGCAGTCAATACAATGCCATACTTTATATCCATTTTAGGAAGAAAATGTACAATGCCATTTTGAAAAAAGTAGTTTTATGCACAAAACTTGTTCTTGAGCCTTGCAATTGTTTTCTTCTGATCATACACGTCATATAACTCAAGAGAAGTTTGTCTCAAGCCTTACAATCACTCAGCCCATGCTTGTACTTCATCTTGGAACCATACATTCACTTTTCTTCAAAATCAAGCAACCTAGCCATAACCCTATAACTCATAAATCCTTTGTGCAAAACCTCTCCAACCTTTTGCTTATACATACACAAGTCCTTGGCAAGAAAACACACGCATGCTAAAGCCCTGAAACTCTCTAAAACACAGAATCACCAAAAACACCTCAAAAATTTCCATTTCTGAGTTTTGAATCCAATCTCCAAATTTGCTCGTGCGTTTCTTGGCCTTTTACTTTCAAAAGCTTCTAAATAATATACACAAACAATTCCCACACCTGCAACACCACTGTAACACCTCCATCATCATCCACCATTTTCAAAAATAGCACCTTGCACCTTGACTTCTCCAGAACTCCCCAGGCACTTTCAGCTCAAGCTAAGCATCACATTAGCTTCCTGGGAACTTGAGGAAGCTAATCCAATCATTGGAACACACTAAAAGCTGCTCAAACTCAAAACACGATACCCTATTGCAAGGTAAGTTTTCTGATTTTTGAACTCTTCATACAAGCATCATTAATGGTTTATTTGTGAATAATAAATATAGGTATCATTGTCCTGAAGCTAACCATGTCTTTAGATTTCATTTTTATTGCTTAAGTAGTTAGAATTTTTGAATCTGAACATCTTGGAAAAGTTAGGTCAGAATTTGGTACCATTCAAAATTCATGCTCATTTTTGAGAATTAGTTCAAGTTATTTACATTTCTGAAATCGTGAGGAAATTTGCCACAAGTTTCATGTTTACATTTTTGTAAATGGATGAGAAATGAACAAGATGCAGGTGGTCCGGCCAGAGGTTGAAGATGAAGTTGTTTTCATGAAGCAGTTTCTAATATATATTTATGGTTTGACATAAGTTAACGGATGTATCACCACCCTAGTGATTAAAGCGCGCGTATGTCACCCTTAGGTCTTGGGTTCAAGCCTCAGCGTGACCTTTTGACATTTTTCTCACATTTTCTGATTTTTTTGCAACGCTTGGGCTAGCAATTTGGGCCTGACTTTTTTTTCTTACAATACTCCTTGTTTCACTTATTAACCCCCCTGACTTTATTTTTTATTTTTATTTTATTTTTACTTTTTTTATCTTTTATTTATTATTATTATTAATATTATTATTATTATTACTATTTTCATTAATAAGAAAAATCCAAAAATATTTATATTTCATTATTTATATTTATTTAGTTTATTTTTCTTTACAAAAATAAAAGAACAAAAACATTGCTTTAATTAATTTCTTTTTTTTAATACTTAGATAATATTATTTTGTAAATTAAAATCAATTTAGAATTTAGGTTTTTTTTTTATTTTTTATTTATTTAATTATTTTTATTTACTAATTTAATTAAATTCACCAAAACCCTAAAAAAAACTTGTTTTCTTTAAATTAATTTATTCTACTAACTTAATATTAATTTTCTTTTTTAGTTAATTATTTTATTTTAATTAATTAGGTCAAAAAACCCTTTTCATGAAAAAAAACAAAAATCCTATTTTCCTTTTTACCTTTACATTTTTTTTGTATTTTATTTTGTTCATTTTTGTATATTTATTCAAATTCAATATGGTTGTAATAATTATTTAGATTTAATTTCTTGCAATATTTCTCATTTGTAATTTGTACACCCTTCCCCTAAGTATTGTAATAGCATAGTAATTTTAATTTCCACAATTTATCGCTTTATATACAAAATGCTAGTAATTAGGGTTTTGTATGGAAAGACTAAAACCAACCAATATAAAGCCCTAATCAAAGATAAATCAAGCATGAAAATCAATCCACGCCCCTAGGGTAAATCCACTTGGTTGCCTTACAAAAATGGCCATATTAAGCATGTGAGGTATCTTGGCAAAAACAAACGAAATACAAGATCATAGTCCCTCGATGACGCTATCTATGTT